CGACCATAGGGTACTTCCGGTTTATTCATATAGTAAGAGTTACCGACGGAAGCCCTTAGAGCTCGGCTCCGTTTTTTGGAAGGCGACGCCACACAGTGACTTCCTCCAACAAAAAGTATAGAAAATAAAGAAACTTGCTCCTTGTCGAACAACGAGTGATATGTGTAACCTCAAATTCTCCGCTAAAAGTAAGAAAAGTGAAATCTTCTCCACGAAGTTCGAGATTCAAATAACATGGTAAAAGCGGAATTCTTTATCGCATGCCCAGCCAAAGAATGATATTCCGCCATAACAGTTAGAAAGTAGGAAAATCAGTTTTGTTATGATTGTCATTATGTTATTACTTTCACGATGAATACCCAATAAATCTGTAATGTAACTGATTAAATTGTTTAATATGTTTGAAATTTAATTAATCAAATAAAAAAAAAAAAAAATAAGAGAAATTTTAATTAAAATCATTTAAAATTCTTTATTATCAAATTTTGAATTAGGCGTTAATAACCGAAAATAAAATAGCTGATCTAAAATAACGTAGAATGTAGAGAGCTGGTTACACGTCGAGGTGATCGCAGACCAGTGCTAAACGATAATTAAGAGGTTGAAGCTGTTGAATCCTGAAAGAAAATATGAATTGGTATTTTCTCAGAGAGTGAAACGTATGCCCGTAATTAGACACAGCATTGAATCAACATTTTTAATCGAACTTTATTAGAATTGAATCAAGTGGTTCTGTCAGCAGAAGTGTAAAATAAACTCCGTGAAGATTCATGCTGAATCTTCCAATAAACATGTAATCAGAGACTCACTTGATTGCCAATTGAAAATCAACGACAAAAATTGATCTTCGAGAATGTTTCATATCAACCAGTTTAGCCAGCAGATGTTTCTAGCTGGAAATCATTGAGATTTGAGAAAATCTCATCACTTGAGAACGTGGCCGTTTACGTGGTTGATATGTCGCATCTTTTAATCAATTGAGGACATAGATCAAGGTATAAATCAGCAGAAATTGTGTATAATTTCGTGGAAGACCATCTTAACTTCCTCAAGAATGTGACTTATACGCACTTGATCTAGTAACATAAGAAGAATCAAGGCTGGGCTTGATTCAAACAATAAAGAAAGTAACTTACAACTTAGTTAAAGATTGAATCCAGCAATATGATTCATTGTGATTGACCATATAACAATGCCAAAGAAAATCAACGGCTTAATTCCAATCTGGATTGACCACACCACAAATTTATTTAATTACAACGAAACGACACAGTGCACTCGTTGGAACTTTTCGAAAGACTGACTCATTTTTTTCTTTAAGATATCTTCAATGGAAAACCAAACGTCTCTTTCTTTGTCCTGATTATGCGTCGATCATAGACTCATGTGCTGGCACAATCATCATGAAAGTAATAAAAGTATCAACAGATAAATATAAACTAATACTTAAGTATACATGAGAGTATTTGAAACAGACTCTCATCGGAAACCTTATACTAAATATATATTAGTTAAAAATTTTAGGCTTAGCTTTATCATTTTATTAACAATAAAAGAATGGTTTTAATGTAGCAATATAACATCATTATTGTAAACAGTAACTAATTTTCCCGCTCCCAACCAACGGCCGATAAGTAATCAGCATTCCACAGCCGGTAAAAAAGCAATACTAGCGGTTGGTAATACAGTCGGTAAGTTACCGATAACGTGGAAAAAATCTGCCTGGTCGGTATTGCAGATTGAAATAGACCCCCCTCCCCTGTTATAACTACTAATATAAAATTTCGCACATTAACACTGGACGATGTATTATAATGCCAACAAAACAAAGAGATGTAAACATAACTCACAATGTATCACACAAATACTGTACAACTGCATCAAAAGAAAGATCGTTGAATGAATGTCGAAAGCTGCAACAAAAAAACGTATTTTTTATTGTATTCTTATTAGTCCCGACATTTTGGATGCTCCTACCACTTTAATTACCAGCATAAAAATTTGCAGATCTGTTGAAATCCTCCCCTTAAATACAAGGTCAAATAACCTTCTCTTAAGTGTCAGCTTCATTTAAAATCACCTTTAATTGACAATAGACCCATCGATAAGAAAAGGCAAAATTTGTTTTTTGCTGCCTTCGTACTTAATTATGACTCCAGATGAGGAATAAACCCGCATAGAAGTTTGCGATCGTCGCCGAAAAGCATATCACCTACCTTAAGTGAATACGAACTGTAAATTGCATTGAAGAGGACTTTTAAATAAAATTTAAAGTTCGAAGTAATTTATAAACCTAAGTAATTTGCCTTGTAACATGTTTACAGTAAGATGTGACGTTCAAAAATTCTTCATTACGCATTGAAGCAGGCGTCATGTATAGTTGAAATGCGACTCACTCATGGAAAATATGAGAAATCATTAATAAATAAATAATTAATCATAATGATATTTATGAACAATAACAATAATCTTATAACTGCAATCACATGTTTTTTCCACGTGGTGGAGAAATGGTGGAATTTTGGTGGCTCGGTATGATTTTTCACCTGATTCCACCGAGTGGATCCGGAGGGGAATTGAAAATTCTTCACACAGTAATTCCAGTATGTATAATGTCTAAATGTATTTCACTTATTTTACATAATCATTTCAAATATATTTTAAGAGAAGCTAGAAATGAATAGCAAGAAAACTTAAGGATTGAGGTTAACGATTAGTACTCAAATCATTTCTCTTCGAGTTTTCCTAAAATTTCGTTAAAATATAAAGGGTTTCGAAGAAGAGTTGAGGAAATCATCTTTTAGATATTCGACTGCTTTTGGAAAACCCACCTGGTGAAAAGCAATGACATTTTTAAAAAAGACTACGTGACGTAGGAAGACCGTTAGCTTTCCAAAAAAGGGAAAGACCAAGTGAAGGGACTTGTGCGCGCCTGAATCAAAGGTCTTCTAAATATGTCCCATTCGACTAAATAAATACCTAAAGTTTAATGCATCAGTTAGTTGTTGAAAAAGTCAGATCGAGATCAGATCGTTGTGGAACATCTCTTGAAATTGTAAGTCTTGTTTTGTCTTGAACATTGTATTGATAATATTTCAAATTTTTGTATGCAGTTTATTTGATTGTCAAATTATTTCTTAATCGATATTCTAATTAATTCGCGAGTAAAAGTGAATATTGCACTGACTGAAGCGTCAACTAAAGACCAATTAATTGTAATTTATCTTGACCAGAAAAAAGAAATCATCTGTTGGTAACGTTTAAATTGCTCTTATAATTTTTCAATAATTTTCATTCAATCAATTTTGACTTGAGTCAAAATTGACTTTTGATTTTGAAAAAGAGAAACATAAAGTCTCTTAGGTTAGGCATATAGTTCACATATTGACATCTTTAACGAGGAAAAATATATAACATATGAAGTCGATGGATTAAAAAATTTTTTTTTTACATCGATTCGTCAGACGGTGTAGAATATAAATATGTATTATTAAAAAAAGTCATAGACACACTGGAGTAATATTGCAAGAAATACTGACAAGAATTGTTAAAAGTTAACGTTTTCTATGAATGCTTGAATCTCTGTGACACAAATCAATAAAAATGTTTTTTTAACGGCATGTGAAAGAGAAATTGAAGTAGTTTCTAGTATTTTTTTTGAGGTTTAGCTGTGTTGAATGGAACATTCTTATTGAGAGAACAGAAATTGGATACTCGTCAAATAAAAAAAAGTGTAGAACATGAAAAATGAAATATCTTTAGAAAAGAACGATTCATTACAAAGTTTGAAAATACACTGAAAAATACGTATATACATGTGGAAAAAGAATAATTATACAAAATTTAAATTAGATAATAGAAGAGCGCATTCCATGCGAATTTTAACCACATGATTCTTATACATTAGATTGCCACACGTTAAACATTTGTAACATGGTCACCGATCTAAATTGGATTGACAATGGCCACAACGCTTATATTTTAACATTTTATTCTCAGCCATTAAATCGAGAGTGTTCTAACCCTCGGGGAAATCTTTTCCACTTAAAAAACATATATAATTCTCGACTGTAATCTCTATGACGCATCGTACAATTTGTATTCATTGAATTATAAATAATGAATGAATTTACGTTTGCCTGATCTAATATACCATAAAAATAGCGCATTGGCCGTCTACGTGTTCTTCGAGTAGTTGAAAAATGGTGATATGTTTAATCAAAACTGTCCATACCTCCTTTGATATTATTGTAAAAATCTACAATTTCGTGTTTTCCAGTTTCCGAATCTATTTTTGCAGTATTATGGTATAAAGATAGTAATAGAACGATCTCTTTACCCCAAGAATCAGATGAAACAAGAATTTCATCATTATTATACGCAAAACGAACCTTCTCCTTGTTAGATAGAACTTTGAAAGCTGATAGAATTTCCGGTTTATTTCTGTGTAATTTTTCTGTTATTGTTAAATTGTAATCTCGTAACGGTTTATCACATGAAAGCATGAAAGTGAACCACCCATCACAAGTAATATTCCATTATTATTAAGTATTGCACCTCAATATGGTATCTCATGGCCTCTTAAAATCCAAATTTTTTCGTAGGATTATCTAATCCTTCTTGACTGAACCATTTTATTGCATTCAGTTGAGGTTAATCTGATACTGAAATATTTCCTCACAAAGAAAGTAAGGCTTAATAAATTTGAAACTAGAAATTCCTCACAAAAATCTATCGTGCATTAGTGCCGAAATTTTATCAAAAAGTCATGTCACTAATTGAAATTAATACGTAAAAAAAATTCAGTCCGAATCAGAGGATTTACACTTATCAGAAGAGTACTTCCGTCATCTACATATTAATTGATTTATTGTTAATAATTTCAAAAAAGTAGAATAGGACTATTGTTTTTGAATGACGTCGCTGTAATCAACAAATTTCATAACTTGGAAATACTGGATATCGGATTCAGATCTATAGCATAGTTAATTGATAATTACCTCCATTCCTGCCTTTGTATATACATTTCCTTCCAAATAGCGTTCATCCTCACTTTCTGAACTTTCTTCTGACTTTGGTGCTCTAGTCACATGTATATTCTTCGGTTCGGTATTATTTGACAAATTTGAATGAAGCTGCACTGGATTAGCCTGATAATTTGTACCATTGATGTAGGTTGCTGAACTGAAAAAAAATTCAGTGTCAATTATACTTCTATATTTAATTTGATAGAAAATTCCAGAAGTTATTGTGTAAAAATTCAAAATGTGTATATATCTGGTCTGGGTGCAACCCGAGACGTTGTTATGTCTAAATCCTTAGTACAGAGTTACAAAAATATGAAAATCGTTCAATTAGAAAAAAATTCTATTTATTGTAAAAGTCGGCTAATTAGCTGCTTTTAGTGGATCGTTTTTGAGAGTGTACTGACCAACTACCGTAGGAATTTGTATTCACTGATTATCTGCAGCATTTCGCATTTCAAGATGATTGTCAAATCGAGTTGTCTGTTCTTGAGCACTGTTTAATAATGCCTGGGAGTCGTTCTGACAAATACTATTTTCAATAATTGATAGTTACAAAACTAATACAAGGTCGCTAAAAAGTTGGGGAAAAAACATAAAAAAAAAAGATTTTCTTTTTTTATGTACTGAAACAGAAGTAGCCCGATATATCGAGCTTAAGAAGTCAGAATATGATTAAAATTATTTGGACGTAAATTTTGTGACATGACCAGAACAGTCTGCGAATTCGTGGCACAATTTTGAACGTCAACGAGCTTCCCGCAAGGGCCACCAGAGATTTCTGAGCACTCCACTGATGCCACCTATACAATTTACAGAGTGCGCATATAATATACTGCGAACATCAGTACAAGAGAAGGGAAAAGTGCAGCCGCAAAAAGTGACTAGATAGTAAAATTTTAGTACGCTGAAGGAAATAGAGTCTTAACATCTGGGCTATTATCGTCTACATTGAACCAGAACAAAGAAACATTTTAGAGTGTTCTGATTCCGATCAGCTGGTGAAAAAAGATGGGAAAAAGGTTACAGGTGGACGGTAATCAGGAATTAAGTTGACTATATCTTGTAGGATGGTTGGATGCTAGAACAGTCGGCACTGTTGAACGGATGTAAGTGAATCGACTGAGAGTACTTGTTAAGTTTGTTGTTATAGTTAATAACAACAAACGATTTCTTAATCACTAAATTCACAGTAACGAGTAAGATAACAAAGAGAGTCGTCCTAATAATAGTCTAGTATGAGTTTACTGAAAAACTGAATCTTTGAATTGTCGGTGAACAGTCTTAAGTTCACTGAGTATGTGTTCCAAAACATAACCCAGTATACTGGCCAGTGCTCATGACGTCATGAATCGACGCCATACTGTTGATTCGTTCCGAAATATACTGGCCAGTGCATTGACGTTATAAATTGACGCCATATTGATAATAGTATTTGTGCTCATTTACAACAATTTTGCTCCAAAAGTGATTGAAGTTTCTATATCATAAAATTCCGACTATCATCTATTTCCTAAGGATGGAGATGTCAGCAGTTGTGACAATATGTCGTGTTGTTGTTGAAACGCAATTTGACTCATCTGATAGTGATTCTGATGATGATGAGATGCTGCTATTTACGCACAAATTCTTATGGGTCTTTGGATGATGGCCACACCAGATTCTTTCTTATAGGTAAACAAAAAAACTTAATTTATGTGTATGAAATATATTATTACACAACAATATTGATTGTTCGTACTTACAGATCTGTTTGCGAGCGTTTTAATATTGGTAAAGCAACTAGTTGGAGAACCGTTTGGAGATTTGTAGGAGCTTTATATAAGTATTTGCCAACTTTCATTAAGTGGCCTAGTAATTAAGAAGCTCTGGTAACTTCAACCTATGTTCAAAGAAGATTCGGATTGCCAGGAGTAATAGGGGCAGTTGATGGAACCCATGTAGCTATTGCGGCACCACATATAAATGCACACAATTGTATTAATAGGAAAGGAAGGCATTCTATACAGACTCAAGTAATTATCAATGAATTTTTTTATCAGTTTGCATGTGGGTACACATAAGTAATAATTTGTCATATAAAAATATAAAAATTACGTTTGATTAGGTTGTTTGCGACCACACCTTGAAATTTATCCACGTTTATGCCGGCGAAGTAAGATCTGTTCACGATTCAAGAGTTTTTAGACGTTCGGGATTACAGGATTTGTGTACTCCTGCTAATTTTCCACAAGACAGTCATTTGCTAGGTGATCAAGCGTATATATTGCAACCGTGTGTAATGGTGCCTTACAAAAATAATCGTCACTTGGATAATGCTGAACTCCATTATAATAGAGTTCATTCATCGGCACGCATGATGGTTGAGCGATCAATTGGATTATTGGAAGGACGATTTCGAAGTCTGTTGGATTAACTGCCTTTCAGACGAACCGATTTAATACCATACTACATTGTTGCATGCTGCATTTTGCATAATATTTGCATTTTGCAGAATGATTTGATTGACATTCCAATAATCGTTAACAACAACTTTGGAAATCCACGCCATGTACCTCAAGTAATAAACAATGCCTTGCGGATAAGAGGTGTCGACAAGAGAAATCGAATAAAAGATGACATTGATGTATAATAAAGTTTCTAATTTAGCAATTAATACTTGAGAAAATTCCTTATTGATGATACATCAGCATCAACTTATATCAACCATCGTCTACTGGGTCACGGAGTTAACAATAAAAATTGGTTTTCGTGCCAAAAAGATTGTAATTGTAAAAAAAAAAAATAACAAATGTAAAAAATTTTTACTTTTCGCTAAGACAAGAAATGTCCAAAAATATTCAAACAAATATGATAAAGGTACATAAATATCAATATGCATTTAATATTATTATTACAAACTGTACTTGCAGAATTATTGTACATGTTTAATTGCACTTATTATTTGTAAATATTTATGTCATAAACCATAAGTTAAATAAATATTGCACTACCTTAGAAATTTTCTATTTTTAAATTTTGTATAAAGTAACAATATTTATCATCAAAATTTCCAGAATTTTGGTATCATCATACTGACAACCTCGATGACCTTAAATTAAGTCCAAGTAATTGATGCACCACCGGATTTATTTAGTGAGTTTATGATTGTTCATTTGAGTGGACATGATTATTTCTTTACTTATTCAATACTTAATATTTATATTATGTTTGATTGATAACAATTATTTACATAAAAATCGTGGCTTGGAGCTTGATTGTTATAAACTAATAAAAGTTAAAGAAAAAAATAACTGTTTAAAATATTTAAATGAAATAAAAATGACATATATTTATAGAAAATCGAACTTTATTAAAGTAAAAATTTCAACTTGATCAGATTGATAAAGTTGAAATTTGGAATACTGATAACAATTACCTAGTATTGAACAGTTTTTCATATCAATAACATAACTTATTTCTACCTAAAAAAAAACTAGATCTTATTAAAACTTAGCTTTATCCAAATATAAGTAGATCTGATTTGGGTAATCTACGCAGATCTGATCATACTCCACAATCAAATCAAACCAGATTTGTGCAAATCTAATTAAATCTGTGCAGATTAGCCAGATCACGTATAATTAGATCAGAATAAGGCTAAGATCTTATAAGATCTGATTAAATCTGCTTTTTTCCAGGTATTCATTTAACTTTGGTGATTAAAAACCTTCAAAGAATAAGAGGAGTGATTTCTTTCATTATAAAGCCTAACAAGTATCACGCTCTAGTTTGGCCTTCTTCGCAGCTGCAATTATATAGAAGCTTTGTGCCACTGACTCCATACAGTCATTGAAACGATCCAACCTGTTCATCTTCTCCTTATGTTTTAGAATATCAGACTGTTGTTTGACATGTCTGTCCACTTTCATTTCTTCGAACAATGTTTGTAAAGGTTTTGCTTTCTTGGGTCGTGGTTCAACAACTGGGACGTCTACTTCAATGAAAAAAAAAACTTAATTTGATTACCAATTTGAAATGTACACTATGAACTACCTAGGTTCGCTGGGACACTACTTCCGGCAACAGATAGCGGCTTCACCCAGTTTTCTATGTGAAATAACTCATGCAAAGCCTGTCGACGAACAATGTAAGATTAAATCAAATTTATGCAATAAGGCAAAAGACAGTGTGTCAATCATTTACCTCAAAATAAGTCCAAGTAATTGATGCACCACCGGATTTATTTTTTAAATCTAGCTTTTCACGATAAATTCTTTTTAAACTGTCGATTTTCGAAGAACATTTCGAGAAAGGCACAGTTTTACCTTTTTTCTCTAATAAAATAGAAAGTGGAGACACATCGTTGTGAAGCAGCTGAAACATCTGGTTTTCGCACCAGTAAATGAATGCCTCCTTTTCGGTAGCAGTCAATCAAGAGAAAGGTTTCATCCTCTTTCCAATTATATGCGGTAGCTAAAATTAGTACAATTCAGTTATAAAATCGCTACAGAAATCAGATAATTACATTTAAAACTATGATTTAATGATGATTGAACTACGAACATTAGTCTTTAACTTAAAAACAATAATAGTTTACTCACACTCTTGATCATTTTGGTGGTTGTCTAGTTTGTTTTTGTGGCATGATATATCAAGAGGCTCGTCTTCAATTGCTGAATTATCAATTCTGTAAGGTTGATCACCTTGATGGTTGATTGGTACATTTTCATCATTACATAATTCACCGACACAATTATCTTCAACTTGGATATCTTCCATTCCAACAGCACGACCTGTTTATAATAATAATAAGAAGTTGATAAATTTATTTTGTAATCAATGTAAATATCTTGTAAATAGTTAGTTAGTCAGTTACATATTGTGTACAGTAATTAATATAAATATTATGTAAATTGTAAATATTTTATGTATATTGTAAATTGTAATATTTTGTAAATATTATGTAAATTGTGAATAATAATTGTAACATATATGTATTTTGTAAAAATTTACCTGCTTCTAAGTGTTCTACAAGTAAAATTCCACCGTGATCCGGGTCTGTAAAATATTGGAATTAAAACCATTACATTTTAGGTTAGTCAATAAAGTACAATCAAAAACATACCTGTGCTTGCTTTTTCATATTCTTCTAGAGATACAGTTAATGTGTAAGATTTT